CATCCATCCATCCATCCATCCATCCATCCATCCATCCATCCATCCATCCATCCATCCATCCATCCATATGTGTGTCTGCATGTTTATACATATAGTTTTTGTGTAAAGCAATATTTTGCTTTGTGATCAAGTATCAATGTGAATCTGAAAATGGTAAACAAGTGAGGCTGCAGAAATCAAATATGGGGTCAGACAACTAAATGCTGTTAGTATGGATTAATGCACTGAAAGCATGCCAGTCTGGACATGATGTATTGCTCAGTCACAGTAAATTGGTTTACCTTTTGATATTAGATTTCATACAATAATTTTGTTTGGTGGATAAAGTAAACTTAATCTCTTTGAACCTGTCTGAATGCTGCACAGACTTGAATACATTTGTCAATAGCCGTTAACCAAATTATAGAGTAAAAACCTACAACCCATATTTGATTCACTCCTAATCACAGCATTTATTGTCTGCCTACTGAAACGAAAAACAGCATAAATGCATAGCTAAAGCATGCAGATGGTGCCCTCTGGAGTGCAGAAATCACTACTGCTGCTGCTTGTGTCTGCCTGTCACTGTAGAGGGGATGGGCCCACTCACACTTCTCCCAGCATTTTGCCTGAGGACTGACAGGTGCTGTCAGCATTTTGTGGCACTGTGAGCATACAGGCAAACACACACTGAGAATATTCCTGAGAAAAATCAGAAATAAGCTCACTCAATTCATGACCCAAAAGCACCTTACCCTCTGTGTCAAAATAATTGCACCATTTACCTTACACTGCACTGTTACCCATAAAGTAGCACTTTACTCTCCACTCATTAGTTCACTCAACCACAAAATGTTCCATATGCTCTTATAAATCAGTTCTTCTCAAAAAAGTCTCATTATCATTGCCTTAAAAGTGTATTGGTTGGGATCATTAAAAGTGCAGTTGGTGTCCTCTGGAAGTTGAGTGAAGTTTCCCACTATCACAGTGGTGTTTTTCAGATCAGTGAGCAGCGCTGCGGTTTCCCCCCTAAGGATTTGCGGGTGCAGCTGTAATTGGAGCGTTTGTGTTGCTCTGAGTTACTGTTCCCTGGGTAGAGGCCAGAGCAGAGCAGAACATTCATGTACACGTCCAGAGAATATCCTGTGAACTTATCAAGTGCTCTTGCTGAAACAGTAACGTGGGAATCGAATCATGAATGGGCTGCTCTTCTTATTGAGATCAGGCTCTCGCTTTAGTTTCTCCTTTTCACCAACTGCTTATAATGTCCATTGATCTTTGTTTTGTTAGGCTTTGCAGAAGTATTTTTTTCTTAGAATAAGTGAAATTTTCTTGGATTCAGGAGATACAAGAGAGATTCTACAAGTGGAACAAAACA